AGGCTCGGCCTTGTCTCAGGCCACCTGGAATTTAGGCCCTGTGATATGTGCATGTGTGATCCTACACAGATATTACCATAACTTAATGGCATACTTACCAGTGGAGTTGTTTTTATGCCTTGAAAATATGGTGAAAACTTGGCAAACATGGTTTGTTTAAATGTTGTAGGATAAACTAGCTTGCGCCGCATCAAAGGTCTCTGAGATGTGTGAAAGAATGCCACATAAGCTTTGTCACAACATATTTCCAAAAAAACGTACAGTTTCCACACACATATTTCAAAAGTTAAATATAATGCCACAGCATTACCTTCACATGCGGGACAGCTTTGGGAAGTGGACTGAGGAGCTGTGACAAAATGTGTTTTTAGTTTAAATAATGCGTATACATTTATTTGCACATAACAAACATCATTTTGTTTGTTTTCCAGATAAATAACTGGTGAAACTTACTTCAGCCTGCTCCCTCTCCTCCTGGTTTTCCACCTCCTCATCTTCCTCCTCCTCCTCCCCACATCCTTCCTCACACTGCTCCTGCTCAGGCACCTCCTGCTTGACCACTATTTGCAGTCGGTCAGGATCATCTATTGGAAAGATATTTCTCACTTAAGCATCGATCACCGTCACCATTAACTTCATGATGTGATTAACTTATGTTTTCATTTTCACCATCATCATCACTTCCAAAGACTTCTCTGGTCAGTTTGGCAACTGCCTTCTGAACTAGACTTCTGTGTCTTCCAGATTCATCTTCCTCGGAATCAGAAATAATGATGATATTTAAGCTGCAACCTTTTGAAAAGGAATATTTCCCTTTATCCTTACCGTCACTGTTTGGTTGCTAATGTGATCAACTTGTCTTTTACTACTCAAGGCATATCACCTTCATCGCCAACCTGTCTCGCCTCTGCACTGCACATAGCATCATCTTTGCCTTCATCGCCAGACTGGGGCAGAGGCTCCACTCCGCTGCACATAGCGCCATCTTCGCTAGATGACGAGCTGTAGAGAAGACGTACAGGAGCCTTTCGAGGCCGCAGGGTGACTTTGGAAGTGTCGGGTGGCAACGCAGATGGCCTAGCGACCTTATGTGGCGGACCCTTACTAGCACCGAGCGCACGGCGCAGATGTTCGCGGCCAGTTTGCAGCTCGTGCAGCTGGGGGTCCGCCACATAAAATCGGTCAGCCGTTGCCGTGCTGTGGCACATCATGCGTGACACTATCCGCCTTTGCTCCTCTGGCAAGTTCCTATCAATCTGTTAATGAGAAAGGAAAATTAATAACATTTCAGACGATCTCTGAACAAGAGAAGACTTCATAGATTGTTTACAACTTTTACTTACACATGTTGAA